TCCAAAACACTCTGAACAAATCTTGCAAAGAAATTCCCATGATAGAGTGATCTTAGGGTAACCATAACTCAGAAATGACTTGAAGGCACCCAACAGCAACAACAACAAAATTGGGCAGGTAGGAATATTCACATGGAAGATAAGCCACAAAAAATTATTTTAGAACAGTGTGAGTAGACACAAATGCTTCATGAACAGAATTTATCAATATTTATTCACCATGCACTGTTCAAAATATTATAAATATTATAAACCACACAAATAATAAATGGAAATTAGAAATGGACACACAGAGAAAAGAAATTCTGTTTGCTCTGAACGCTGCTACTAGATGTGTCTGTCATGTCCTACTGAAGGAGGCCTTACCAACAATGTAAGAAATTATATTAAGTATAATTGGCCAAGAACCAATGGGAAGAAGCCAAGGACATAATTAAGCAAGAATGCAAAGCATATGATTGATGGCCAAAAAGAAAGAGAAGAAACAATGGCTCACAGATGAAATGCTTCAAGCAGTAAAGGAATGAACAGAGGCAAAACAAATAGCAATAGCAATAGCATTTCTATACTGCTTATCAGCCCTCCCTAAGCAGTTTACAATGTGTAAGCTAATTGCCCCCAACAAGATGGGGACTCATTTTAGTGACCTATGGAAGAAAGCAAGCCTGAGTTAACCCTGAGCCCTTGGCTAGTACTGAACTCACACCTTGTAGCTTGTGGGAACGAAACTAGAACCATGAACAGAACTGTACAACAACTACTGCACAAAGAAAAAGAGAACTATTACAATGGTCAATGCAAAGAAAAAGAAGACAACAGCAAAACAGGAAGAATGAGAGATCTTTTCCACAAGATCCGGGAAATCAAAAGAAAGTTCAAACCAACAGCCAGCATGCTATATGCCAAGGAAAAGATCATTCTATAAGATCAAAAATATATACAGATGTGAGATCTGGACAGTGAAGAAAGCAGATGAGAGGAAAATCAACTCATCTGAGATGAGGTGCTGGGGAAGAGTGCTGAGGATACTATGGACAGTCAAAAAGACAAACAAATGGATCTTTGAACAGATCAAGCCAAAAAGCCAAGAAGGTCAAATTGAGGCTGTCATACTTTGGCCAGAGCATGAGAAGGCATGAATCACTGGAAACGACAATAATACTAGGAAAGGTGGAGGGAAACAGAAAGGCAGGAAGACGGATGGATAGACTCAGTCAGGGAGGTCATGGATCTTAATTTGCACGACCTGAGCAAAGCAACAAAGAACAAGGGGTCTTGGAGATGTCTCATCCACAGGGTCACCATGAACCAGGGATGACTCAAGGGCAGTTAACAATGACAATAATAACAACAGAACTGAATACATCTGTTACACAATGGCAAAAGACACATACCCACATGTGTAAGGGCATTTACATGTGTCTATGACAACAGCAAAGATTTCAGCCAATAAATTATAACATTAAAATACTGTTAAGCTGATAATCATATTGAAGCAACAACTGAGGTTTGTTTTTGCTTTTAAAAAAGAGAAAGTGACAGTACATCAGAAAGAAATAAGACATTTAAAAGTGTCTGCCTCAGCTGCCAGTCAGTTGCCAAAATCCACCCTGATTTTCTTTTTTAAAATAGGGGTTTTCATCTGCTTACGGAAGGACAAGAGGAAAGGGGCCAGCCTAGCCTCCCTTGAAAGGGACCTCAATAATTTGGGAGCAACCATTGAGAAGGCTCCCCTCTTACATCCCCATTAAATGTGACTGAAGAGTTGCAGGAGAGATAAAGGGGCCTCCCCTGAAGATTTCAAAACCCAAACAGGGTCCTACTGTCCATAGCCATCATGATTCCCTACCACGACTAACTGGAACCTCCATGTTTTGGGGCAGGATATCATGGTTGCTGAGGGCTATCAAGTAGGAACATGGTTGCCTTTGAGACCAGCACCCCACCTGCCTCCCCAGTAAGAGTTCCCAGAAATATCTAGGCAGATTGCACTGGAAGAATAGGATTAGTTGAACCACGTGGTGAGATCTGGGAGGACTTTTCTGGCATTCTTATGGGAGTCCAAGGGTGCAAAGTATCTGCACACAATCTGTGACAAAGATTCTCAAAGCTTCAACTGGTAATTCTGGCAAGCCAGAATTCTGGGCTTTTGCCCCACTATAATTTTGACATTGGGTTGGTGCTAATGTCTTAACAAATGTAATTTAAAAACATTTTAATTTCATTCCAAACCACAGGATCCGATGGGTGCACGTCATCTGTGGCATAAGCAATGGTCATGTCCCACGCGTCAATGAAAGCCACATCCAGATCCTTAAATATATCTTTTGCTACAAGATATTGAGCATAGCCATGGAAGTCACTAAACCGCTCCTGGTCCACATCCAACTCCCGGATGTTCTCTCCCTTGATGATGACTCTGGTGTCCGGACTCCTCAGGAGAAGGCGCTTGATAGCTCTCCGGATATTAATGGCCCGTAGGATGAAGAGTTCAATAGGGAAGGGACGGAAGTGCTGACCGATGGCAATGACAACCGTCGTGTTTTTGTCGCCAGCTATTTTGTCAATCTCCCGAGCGATATAGTTGTGATCTGTCACAAGGTACTCACTGGCAGTCACTAAAGGGTGGTGATGTTTCATCCACCGGACTTGGGCATTTCTATCCATGTCCAGAGCAACCAGGTTCGGATGCTTCCCAATCCCATGGCAGTCAAGATATTTAAACGCTAATGAGGAAACAGACACAAAATCAATTTAGGTTTTTGATAATCTGAGAAATTATTGCATTTCTTTCTCACTGGAAGGAAGAAACCACTGGACAGTTGCTCTTTGCACTTGGATTCAGTGATGACATAGAGAAATGTGCAAAGACTCCCATTAGACTCTCCTATCTAAGTTGCGTTTAGTTTCCGCTATGGGAATTTCAATATTTTCCCTTAATATGGCAGTAAGGTTGGGAAGAACATTTGAGAATGATTTTGGTATGGCAACTCCTCCCCCAACAAACATGTTCCTTGTGTTTCAGAAAATCCTGACAAGCAATAATGTAATGAGAGGTAATGAGAATTTTCTCGGTCTAGGACACATTCTGCAAAATATTCACCCATGGTATTTTTGTGTATTAAATGGTATTTTGCACAAATATTATAATAATTTCAATAAAATTTAGTAATAATTAAACTATATTTCTGAACAGAACATTGTTTTCTGCACAGAAAATGCTATTTCCTATGGAGAAAATGTTGTTTCTGTGCATCAACACTGCATACAAACTTTGCATAGAGTAAGCCTTGAACTGTGAATAGTCTTAAATGTCATAATTTTCTCATAGTGAGATGAAAATGGTTCCCATTACTCCTTGCTTCCTTTCAGAACATAATTAGAAAAGAATTGCATCTCTATCTCTAACAGCAGTCTTGTTTTGCAGAAGTCACAAAGAGGAGGAGGAGAACAAAAATTCTTAGGAATTACGTCTTTATCTGTCTCAGCTGCAACCTTTTCACTGGCACAATTGCTCTCTATTTGTCCTTGAAGGAAATGAATAATTTTAGCAATTTCTTCCTCACATGGAGAAAAATCTACAGAAGTCACATCATTTTTCAAAATCTTTTTGCAATTTGGGACTTTTTTTGTGCAAAATTCGCACATGGGCGATTTGCCTAGAAAACAACATTTTCTATGCAAGAAACAGAATTTTCTGCACAGGAAATAATATTTCAGTTTAGAAATATTATGCAGAAAAGAACCACCTGTGAATGTGGTGCAGAATAAGTCTCAAAAGGCAAAGATTCTTGTCTGTGTAGGATTTGTCAGAGTTTTTCAACATGGAGGAGGGTTGTGGTGGGTTTTTTTTTTTTGTACAATTTAAATATTTTCAAAAATCAATATTCAGTATTTCAAACATTTTCTCTGCTTCTAACCAATACTGCTGGAAGCTGTCCTCTGTCTGCATGGTCTGTTGAAGTGAATGAGCATCCAAATGCATGCATGCATGAAATGCATCCATGCAAAACTGTCAAGATGCACTTATTTCTTGCAGAATATCCCATCCGAAGGATACCATCTTCACCTTGTGGGGTAATGGTCTCTGCCATTGTCTTGGACAACATAGATAATGAGGAGTATGGATTCTCCTCCAGGGACAGGATCTTTGTCCTTTATTTCACCTGAGAACCCTAGGAGATAGGGATTTATCACCAATACCCTGTTAGCCTTAACTACCAGCCATCCTTTAATTTAAGTGAAACTTGGCATTAGCTCTGCAGACCCTCAATAAAAGTATTTCCATAACCTGGTCAATGACTTTGCATATCAGAGTTGGGTCTATGCTATGTCAAGCAGCTTTCCTAAAGTGCATTCAATAAAGAACAACTGGAAAGATGGATACACACATGGCATGGAGATGAATCTACCTACCAAGAAGAAAAACAGATGTGTACGAAAGGCAACCATACATTATGGTATCTCTAGGTGTGTATGAATGTTTAGGGGAAAGACATACTGGGCACTGTACTTGTGAGATACTCGACCCACTGCCGTCCAGTGGAGTCTCCCAGGATGTACACCTGCTTTCCTTTCAAGCATGTCATGATCTGATCCGAGGTGTTGAAACTGGACAGTTGGCAAAAGAGAGGGTACCATTCGTTCTGCCACACAAAGCCACTGGGAAATGAGGGATTTGTCTCAAATCTACATTTCTCTCCAGCCCTTGTCTGTTTGCCTGAAATAAAAAGGAAACAAGGGACAATTGATTGAGAAGAGACTATGTGAGTGCAACGTTGTGAAGCGCCAGCATTGAAATGAAGTATCAGAATTAGTGATGTAGTGGAAGAACTTTGTACATGAAACTCTTTTTGTTGTCACATGCCTTCAAGCTGTTTCTGGCTTAGGGTCACCCTATCACTGGGTTTTCTTGGCAAGATTTGATTAGGGGGGTGTTTTTGCCTTCCTCTGAGGCTGAGAGAGTGGAACATGCCCAAGTTCACTCAGTGGGTTTCTATGGCCAAGCAGGGATTTGAACCCTGATCCCTGGAGCCATAATCCAATGCTCAAACCACTGGATGTGGCTTATGGGCTGCATCTGGCCCACCCCTGGGCTAAAGCAATATTTCTTGGACACTCGCTCATGCCTTCACTACTATAATGAAAACCAGGAAGCCAAACTTACTTTCACATTGGATGACATGAATGTCCCCAAACATCGTAGGGATCTCAACTCCCAGGTTGTACCTTGAAGAGAACAGGTTAGAGGTTGTTATGAGAGCTGGGAGAAAGCAATTCAGAACACGTTGGTCAGCTATCAAGAGCATCCTGGCTTGTTCAAACCCATTTCTGGTAACTGAACTCAACCCTTTAAAAGTGATATCAAACTACATGGTTTCTAGTATATAAATGCACCCCATAGTTTTGTGAAATGTTTAGATTTCTTTATCAGAGAGCTCTGGTGCAACAACAAACTGCAAGTCCCAGGATTCCATAGGATGGAGCCATGGCAGTTAAAGCAGTGTCAAACTGCATTAGTTCTGCAGTGTGGCAGAAGCAGAAGTGGGTTTCCATGGCTGAGCAAAAATTTGAACCCTAGTCTTTTGACTTCCTAGACCAATGTTCAAACCACTAGACCAGGGGTAGGCAACCTGTCCCCTTTAAGGGCCGAGGGACTTCAGCTCCCAGAATCCTAGGAGCTATTGGCCAACATGGGACTATTGGCCAACACGGCTGAGGCTTCTGGGAGCTGAAGTCCCTCGGCCCTTAAAGGGGACAGGTTGCCTACCCCTGCACTAGACTATGGGCCTTTTCAGACTGCCAGAAATAGTGCAAACTGAGGGGGGTTGCAGACTGTCAAAAATAGTGTGAATTCAGTCCACTTTTAGGGTTAGGGTTAGTGCTAGGGAATCATGGGAATTGTTATTTTTCTGAGACATTGAACCTTCTTTGTCAGAGAACTCTAGTGCCACAATAAAATACAGTCCCCATGATTCCCTGACCCTAACCCTAACCCTAAAAGCGGACTGAATTCACACTATTTCTGATAGTCTGCAACCCCCCTCTGTCCACTTTAACTGTCCTGGTTCAGTGCTAGGGAATCATGGGAACAGTTGTTTATTGTGGCACCAGAGCTCTCTGACAGAGAAGGCTCCATGTCTCAGAAAAAAAAATGCAATTCCCATGATTCCCTAGCACTGAATCAGGGCAGTTAAAGTGATACCCTTTCCAGGTGGGGTGACCAGAACTGTGCATACTATTCCAAGTTGTTATCTCTTCTACAAGTTACTTTATCTAGAGATTTCTGATCACCCAGATACTCCAAAGACCGAATGGAAAGATCACTACACTCTGAAACTGAAATATGTGAAGATGACAGGAAAATTAAGATACCTCTTGAAAAGTCTCTGTTCCAGTTTTGTCAGATATGACATGGGTCTGTTGTAGGTCCACATACTGATGAAAGCTCCACATGGGACATTCCTTGGTTTGCGGCAGTAGAAGGCTTCTTGGTCCCGCTCATCCAGATACTCACACAGTTCTGCATTTTTGTTCAGGTTAAATCCACATTCAGTGGTGACTTCAAATGCTCCAATCAAAAATTTACCCATAAAAGCAATTTTCTCATAGCCCTTTTTCCTTGCAGCCCACAAGGCGGAAACTCCTTCGCTGGGGTGGATGAGCAAGATGGAGGCTCTGACGTCCCCCTCCCAAAATAAGGTGAAATTGACCAGGTACGTCCCGTTCTTGAAGTCTTTGATACTCCCAGATGCTCCAGCCTTGAGACCCAAGGAGTAGATCCTTGCTCTTATGAAGTCTCCTCCATAGTCCTTCCTTTTTCCTAAATAGTCATACATATCCAGTCGGACCATCAAGTGTTCTCCTACACAGTAATAGTCTTTGTGGTTCAAGATGGTGGCTTTGCTGTTCTTGGCACTTGTGGTGGTTTTTATATCCCTGAAAGTAACGCTGGGCATCATGCGGTCCAGCTTTGCAAGGATTTCTTTGATTTCTTCAATCTTTCCTGCCCTCTCCATTTCAGTCTGGTTTGGGACTGCATCTTTTGGAGGCCAGTTGCTGCACCGTCTATCTTTGATTGGAGGGTTTTTATTTCAAAAAAGAAAACAATCTGAGTGCTTTTAAGTTACTCCAAAAATCCAGTTAGAACTAAATAAAAATACTGAGGATCTCTGAACAACACTGAACAAGTTATAATCTTCTAAGAGAAGGAAGCACAACAAGGAAATGGTACAACTGGACTCTTGTTATTACATTAATCTGGCATTATCTGCAACACTCTCTGAAATTTTGCTTTCTCCAGTCAATTACCTGAAGTAGTATCTGGTGCCATCATGAAAATTAGGAATTTCTTACCAGTGTCTCTGGCCATTTTCTCCATTTCTGTTTGCCTCATACGAGCTCTGAAGATGTTAGTCTTGAGCATGCAATGAGAAATAAATAATTTTAAGGGAAACCATGGCTGTGTGGTGGAGAATGTTTTTGTATATGGGATAATCCAAGTTAGATCACTGGCATCTCCAGTTTGTTAGGAAAGACCTGAGATCCACTTGGGATCAACTTGGATCCCAAGTAGATATTGGACTACAACTCCCACCATCCCCACACAGCATGACCAATGATCAGGACAATGGGGGTATGTCACTCAAAGAATGTTCAAGGCCCAAGTCTAGGAAAGTCTGGCCTAGATGAATTCTTACCTAGGATTAGTGCAACTCTCTATCTGTAAAAGAGTGATAACAAACATTTGAATCAGAGTTAAAAAGGGGGGTTTCCCACCTGAGAGTCCTGGATATGATGAGAATGCTCACTTTCTGGATATCTTCACAATGCATTAATGGCTTTACTATATATCTTCAATGTAGCTACAAATTTGTAAAGTTATAAAAAGTACACTGCGATGTAAGATCTTGACTGGTATTTTTTTGCACAGGAAACCACAGGAAAATGAGATCCTGTGCTCAAGAGGCTTGTTCCCTTCACAGGAAAAAAAAGACACCTTTTTCTATACAAAAACAAAATTCTCCCTTGGAGAATCTTGTTTTCTTTGCATTTTTTTTTAAAAATAATTTTAATTTTTAGCAAGGATGTCCCAACCTGTGAATATTTCTCAAACCCTGCATCATTTTCAAAAAGTCTCACACAGTGGGAGAAAATTGTTACCGGTAATCATTCTTGGCGGCAAGACATAATAGTTACAAAGAGTACATCATTATACCTGGAGACAACTGGTCTCATAGCTCCAATAGCTGTAGTGACACAATGATTAGCAAAGGTATGATTAGCAAAGCAAGAGGGGTTGCAAGGGATAATTTTATGAAAATGGCAAAATGGAAATACGAGTGTCTCACTTTCCTATCTATGTGCTCACTAATTCCTCACTAATGGTCACTAAAAGAAGAGGGAAGTCAGTTCTTTCCTCTCATGCCATTGGTATCTGGAGGCCCAATCTGCAACTAGACATCAGTGGAATGTTGCTCCAGTTTCATAGCAATTATGGAATGCAGCCTTAAGGAGCATTTAAAATGTACAAATCTATAAAATATAGACTGCGATGTTAGATTTTTTAACTGGTATTTTTGCACAGGAAACTACAAGAAAATGGGATTCTCTGCTTCCTGCACAGAAAAAAAAATAATCTTTTGTGGTTCTCAGCTGTTTTGGACTTCAGCTTCCATAGTCCCTGAATAATAAATAATAATAATAATAATAATAATAATAATAATAATAATTTATTTCTATCCCGCCTCTGTAAAATACAACTGGCTTACAAGATAAAGCAAACAATCCCATTCCTCAATATCCCACCCCCCCAAAAAATACAATTAAACAGACAAAATATAAAAACATACTTAAAAATTACAAATCACAAATAATATGAGATAGCTACAGCGGAAATCAGGGACAGGCATAACTTTTTATAGGCATAACTATAACCTTTGGCCAGGTTGGCTGAGGCCTCTGGGGTATGAAGTCCAAAACATTTGCAGGAACAAAGTACGAGAACCTTTGATCTAGAGGACCCCAAAATGACAGGGATGTTGCATCCTCTAACCCTCTGCAGCCATCCACCTTGGTACTAATCCCATATCACCTGCCATCATTTGATCAGAGTGCTGCAAATAATTTTTTTCCTTTAAACAAAGCACTTTTATTACTAAGATTTCTACCTTGGGTCGCTTTCTATAGAAACTGTAGCTAAGGAGAATGATCACTCCAAGCACAAGAAGCAAGAAAGCTGTTGGCTTCATGGTAGGAGGAGTTGCTAGAGATGTTGCGGTCCAGACCTGTAGAAAACGGAAGAAATGCCCCGTTACCTAATTAGATTTCAGGGCTTAGACTTTGGACGCTGTGCCTCGCTCATAGAGAATGCCTGACCCAACGCAGGAGAGGATTTTACTGTTAATGCAGTACTTTTTTTCTTTTTGGTATTTACTGAAAATGAAATGATGTCAGCAAAGCAAACATGTAGACATATTGTTTGCTGAAGCGCCTCTCGTCAGTTCCTCGCTTTGGATAACCCTGAATTTGTTAGGAGGTTTTTCATCATCCCATTTTTAAAAAAAAAATGTTTTAAAACCTTGAAATAAGTTTTCTTACTATGGCCATCAGCCAGCGCTATCTTGTATCTCTATTATTTCAGATATGGTAGGACCTTCCGTGGGACAGCAGGGAGAAAGTAGCTGGCAATAGGAGTGGACAGCTTGCAGTATAGGCTGTACTTTTCATAGAGTTGCAGATTTGGAAGTAATCTCCAAAGGCCATCTATTGCAGCCCCCTGCCATGCAGGAATACACAGCTAAAGCACCCCTGAGAAACAGGTAGCCAACCTCTGCTTGGAAACCTCCCATGCAACCCCCACTATCACATATCTCTTACCATGAACAAATCCTTCCTCGAAACTCTTCTTGCTTTGGAGCTCTAAGATCTACTAACCAGAGTTGGGTGCAGAAAGCTGGATGGTGGCTGGCAGGGAGAATCTTTGTTTCAAATTAAGGAACAGGATGTCTTTTCAATACTGGGTCACTATTGTCTGGCCAAAAAAGAAACAAGCAAAGGTTTGGAAA